AATGGTGGCTTCCATGCCCACGCCACTTTCAGCCGAGCAGTCAAACTGCGGGCAGGGCAGACACCAGGCGAAATCGGACCCGATTTTGCGAATTTGCGGACGTGCAAAGTACACGGTGAAGTACCGCCGTTTTGCCAAGTACAGCAAGACTGTTAGTCACCCACCACGTCACCATCGAAAAATGAGGGTCGTGGCGATGACGGCGGCAGCATTCTGGCGGTTTTGGCCAAAAGGAGGGGACAGGCCCGAGCGGCGCAGTGAGCGTGCGCCATGAGACGCCGCGCGGCCGAGGCCCTTCGCCGGCTGGCGCCCCGCGGCGCGCCCCTGCGCCCCTTCTCCCCCTCCCCGCGGGCGCATGCCTACCCCCAATCCGCATCCCGCGCGGACCACGTCCCCCAGGGGTACACGGGGCCCAGCGCGGCGGAGGTGGCCGAGCTCAGGCGGCGCCACCTGTCCAAGGCGATCTTCCACTACTACGCCTCGCCGCTGATGATCGTGGAGGGCCACATGCAGCACGTGTGGGACGACGCAGGCAAATGCTACCTGGACTGCATCGGGGGGATTGTCACGGTGAGCGTGGGCCACTGCCACCCCTCGGTGATCGAGGCTCTGTGCAGCCAGGCGCGGCGGCTGCAGCACGCCACGACGATCTACCACCACCCCGAGGTGGCCCTGTACGCCAGGGACCTGGCGCGCAAGATGCCGCCAGGCCTGGACGTCTGTTTTTTCGTAAACTCGGGGAGTGAGGCCACGGACTTGGCGTTGATGCTCGCCCGCGCCCACACCGGCAACCACGACGTGGTTTCACTGCGCAACTCTTACCACGGCATGAGCGGCGAGACGATGGGGCTGTGCGGCATGGGCACCTGGAAGCAGTCGCTGCCGCAGGGCTTTGGGGTGCGCCATGCGATGGCACCGGATCCCTACAGGGGGCCGTTCGGCGCCGACACCGCGGCTTATGTACGGGAGCTGAGGGATGTCATTGCTTCGGAGACGCCCGGGCGGGTAGCTGGCTTCTTCGCGGAGACCATACAGGGCGCGGGGGGGAGCGTGGTTCACAGCGAGGGCTACCTGGCGGAGGCCTACAAAGCTGTCAGGTCGGCCGGTGGGCTGTGCATTGCGGATGAGGTCCAGGCGGGCTTCGGCAGGACGGGGAGCCATTATTGGGGCTTTGAGTCCGAGGGCGTGGTGCCGGACATCGTGTGCCTGGCCAAGGGTATCGGCAACGGCTACCCCATGGGCGCGGTGGTCACCAGGCGGGAGATCGCGGACGCCATTGCCGGCAAGCTGTATTTCAACACGTTTGGTGGCAACCCGGTGGCGTGCGCAGTTGGGCGGGCGGTGCTGGCCGTGATCGAGGCCGAAGGCCTGCAGGAGAACGCGCGCAGGGTGGGTGCCCGGCTCATGGGGGCGCTGAGGGAGCTGCAGGCCAGGCACGAAGTCGTGGGGGACGTGAGGGGCAAGGGGTTGATGGTCGGGGTTGAGCTGGTGAGGGACAGGGCCACCAAGGAGCCGGCCACGCGGGAGACGTCGGAGGTCATGGAGAGGCTGCGGGAGGCGGGGGTGCTGGTGGGCAAGGGCGGCATGCGGGGGAGCGTGCTGAGGATAAAACCACCCATGTGCGTCGGGAGGGCCGACGTGGACTACCTTGCGGAGGCGCTGGACTCGGCGTTAGCCGCCCTTTGACGCTCTTTGGATGTTGTGGAGGAGCTGGCAGCTTTGGGCTGTGTACCTCCGTTCCCTCAGATTTGGTGTTGGCCATGTGGGCGAATTCCATACCCTGCGGCAGGAGTACAGGCCACCATTGTGTGCTTGCACATGGCCTGTGCAGAGGTGCTGTTGGTTTTGATGGCAAGAGCTGGTGGGATGGATGCAAGTTTTGCCATTGCCAAGATGACAGGCTGCTGTGCTGAAGAAAAGTCAGTCACTTTGTGGCTTCCATTCTGCGGGTATTCCAAGCAGAGCCAGTTCTCCATTCAGCAAATGTCGAGTCAGGAATGTCATGAAGAATTAGAGAGCGAGACAAAGAGACTCAGAAAAAGTAAAAGTCAAGAATGCAACACCGCAAAGCGCCATGGAAACAATGCATGGGCAGAAAAGATACCCTCCAGTGGGACCATTGCTCATATTTTGGTGCGCGCGTAGAAATGACCGGGCAGGATGATGATTCTCTCCTTGCCTGGCTTTTCTGTTGCAACCCCGCATGTGGGACTGTCCTATAACACTGGAAAGTGGAAAAGACCTCAATTGTTGCTTGAATTATGGGGTGTTCTTGTATCATCGGGATTCAAATTTGTAAATTACTTCCCCAATGCACACAGGCAGACTCTGTGACATAGAGGATAAGAACATTTTGTATATGGACCTCCAATGCTCAAGAAGCAGGTTTCGCAGCTTATTGTAATTATACTTCTTTTTGTCTCTTTACATGTGTCTCCAGCGTCTTTGCAATATAGCGGCTGAGAAAAATTGACTAACCGTTTCTGAATCAAATGCTTTCCCACATTTGTGTCCGTCATCGCCTTTCAGACCCCAGGCTAGTGTTTGGTTGCGTTCCAGCAAAGCAGTACAAGGAATCAGCCATGACACAGAACGGTATGAAGTTTACACCTTTCAGTTGGATGGCCTGTTCTTCTGGCTGCATTGAGTAGCTGGGGAAGCGACACAATTTCTGGCAGATTGAGCAGGAGGCTTAGCGCTTGATGCGTTCAGTTCTCACGTAATTTTCCAACAGGTTTGGTAAATTATTCAGCTCCTCACACGCAGCGGAAACCTGGACAGAAAATCGCTAGAGCAGTTTCTTGTCCGTGCTGCAGGTCTGCCCATGTTGTTTAAAAGGAGTTCCTGCTTTGTTGACGAGCCATTCCGATCCCTGCATTATAGGAGCCCAGGAACATGGCAAAGCCCCAAAAAATGCCACGTGGCATCAAACAGCGCGTTCCAGGATTGGATTTTTAAGAAATCCCTTTGCAGAACAGTCGCGCCGTTGTTGCAGATCAGACCTGATCTACATCATGGCACAACAGCACGAAAGAAGCGTTTCAGCTCTGAAGATTCAGCGGCTGAGTGAATCGCAGGGTTGTGGCTCTTTCAGGCCTTGCAGTCAACGTAAAGAAATTCTCAGGCGGTGTGCTTCTCGAATTTCTCTGGTGTATTGTAACACATTGTCAGTCACTTTGCTAGTCTGAGGAAATTGTGCGCCGAGGGTGATGCACTGTGTGTTCGGGGGAATGATATGTCAGTGGCTGTCCTATTATTGACAAATGGTTGTCTAGGTATAAAGGGGTATGCTTGTTGGTAATCCTTTTGCAGCTCTGTTCCCTCAGCTGTGCATCCGTGCGCATGGCTGTGTTGGGCCCCGACATGATACCATCGCAATGCTGGGCGTAACATTGGTACGGACCCCAGAGAATCTCGTCCACGGAAAAGCTAATTTGCTGACACAGATGGACGATGTTACTGCCGTCCACCAATTTGCAAATTGCCCACAACCGTTAATGGGTGAGTGGCTGTTGCCCGTCCAGCTTACTGTGTTGCTGCGCTAGAGGGACGCAAGAGGGCATCAAGTAAACTCTAAAACACCCGTTGCGTGGCAGGTGGGCGAGGGCTGTAATATTTCTAACCAGAGTCCATGTTTTGATCGTAGTGAAGCGAAGGGCCTGCAAAAGCCTACTGCGCAGCGCAAGTAGGCTATTGGTCCATCCAAAAACATTTAAACTGGATATCACCAAGCCTTGTTTTGTACACGTTGTGGGAAAAAACATACACGTTGCCTAAATGTCTGGCACATCTCAAGCTAGAACTCTGCAAGATGAACTCAATCAGTCAATCAATCACCATGTTTGGATTCCTTGTTTGATTTTAGGCTGATGCGGTTCTCGATTGTATTAGTCACCGCCATAAAACATTACTTCCACAGATTTACCAAAACTTCCCCTATCCAAATCCATGCAGGCCCTCAATTCCTCGCATCGTTGCATTGGCCTTATTCTGGTATGTCCTAACCCATGCCTCCACATGCATCAATAGCTTTGTTGTAAAAAAAATAGGCGCTAGTGCATCGTTTCAAGAGTTTCGACATCATCGCCAGCACGCAATTGTGGGATCGTGTTTTTCATTGCATTGAACCATGTTCCAAATATTCTGGCCTTCAACGACAGGACGTGGTTGCCTCAATCTAGGGCGTTCTCTTGGCTGACATGAGTACGCACGGCCTTCCAGACTTTGGCAAATCTTCAACATAGATGCTCTTTACACTGATCATTGTGTCTCTTGCCTCTTCAACACCACTGCACGCGGCTCTTGGTAACACCTCAAATTCTGCTGTGGACCCCGATCTTTTCATGGCAAATTCTGTTTGGGATCGAGCCCCATCTTCAATGCATACCAAACCACCAAAGCATGCCCCCTCCTAAGAACAACTCAACTCATTCTTCCTCTTCGAATGGGCAAGGCAGGAATGCTATACCCCGCCCAATGCTCCGACAGAATGCACAGTCGCATTTCAGCTCCCCTTGGCATATCACATGAATGGCAACAACATAGAAATATCAATGGATAGCTCTTGATATGGCGCTTCGAAGTTGCTTGAAAACATTTTCCCAACTCACAAGTTTTGACCTCCGTTTGCGCAAATTGGAGTTCGAGCATGACTTTTGAGACATGTTCGGACGTGACTTTAGGACATGCTCGGACTCCAATTTCCGCAAACGGAGGTCAAATTGTGAGCTGGAAAATTGTTACAAAGGTAGAAGTTAGTAGAGCGTTGTTGAAAGTGGTGGAGCGTTTTCACCAGTGAGTTTGCCAAAGCTCTTTCCGTGCGCACGGCAACGCTGTGATGAAGATTTGAAAAGCCTTCATGGCACAGTGTGTTTGATATTTAATTTGCAATTTAAGTAATGTTGTACCGAGTATCGGGCAATGGCGAGCACACGAAAGCCAAGCTTGAAGGAACATCGGGACCCCAACAGCGTTGATTAAAATTTGCCCTATGGCTGCTTTCACACAGCATCGGCTTCCCCCACAATCTTACCGACAGCCGAGACAATGTGGTCAAAAGCGCTGCCAATATGTCCACTGAACATTCCCTGGTCCACACTCGCCAGCGGAAGGTTCAAGGCTGTGATGATGCCAACGATGGCGTCATGAATTTCAGACGAAGATTCCAGCGCTTCATGCACTGCTTTCAAACCCGGCAAATAATTGTGCACCAAAAACTGCGTATCTGGCTTGCACACTCCTGCATGCATGCAGGGCTTCAGAGCCTGCCCCACAGCATTCCCAAGAGACACGCCAGCCTCCTTTCGATACTCTTGCAGGGCGCGAAGGGACTTATCGGTTGCTGCAAGGGCAGTGGCAAAGGCAACCGTCAGGTCCGCCTCGCTGTCCCCTCCGGTTGTCTTGTGGACGGCCGCTACGAAGGGCATGACCATTTCCAAAACGTTCTTGTAACTGCCTTCAGTGGCTGTGCCATGTGGCAAAAGTTCCACCTCGTGAAAAAGCAAATTCAGGACCTCCACCATAAATCGAACATTGTCGGTGGCGGCGGCATGGTGGGTCCAGGGGTCTGTGTCCACCATAGCCATCAAATAGCCCTGCAAGGTGTGATCCAGGCCACCGAAGTAGCTCGACACGGCTCGTATGCTGCCCATGCCACCGTTGTGCAGGAGATTTCTTGCAGTGCCAAACGTCCGCCCTCCGCCGATTTCTTTGTTCAGGTCGACATGGGGGTCGGCGCTATGTTGCGCTGAGCATGCAAGGCACGCCAGTAACGGCAACTTCGACAACTGCACTTCGTGACCGTGGACACCGTGGCTGATGGCTCCCAGGCCACACATCAGCACTGATTTCTGCGGCATGCCCATGTCCGCCAAACACCGCGACAGCACCTGGCCCTCATAGCGGCTGAGCCCCAGACTCGCCGCCTGTGCTGGGTGCATCCGAGTCTCGTCGGCGTGGTCCAGGACGGCTCGCCTGTAGCCGTCCACCCCTTGGGCGAGTGTGAAGAAGGAGACTGGCTGGCACGACAGCATCAAGAATTCCAGAGTGACGCCATGCTGCTTCAAGTATTGATCATCCTCCAGGTAGCCGGCAAAACCCTCCATTCCCAAGCACACTCTCCCCAGGTCGCACTGCAAAAGACATCGGAGCGTTGGCAGGAGAGTGCGAACATTGTCGGAAGTCGTCGTGCCTGAGCCTTCAAGACCCGACCTGGACGTCAATATGGCCGTCAGTTCTTTCTCGTACGGCTGGACGTGCGGATGCCTCGCGAGCGCCCCCACCAGCACGTGTGCCTCGTATCCGAGCGGCTGCTGCGATTCCTGAAGCGCGTCTACGACTGCAAACCACCAGTCTTGGCACGCCACGAGAGCTTCACCGCTGGGAGCCGGGCCGTTGTGCGGGTGCCGGCCACCATGGGCGTCCTGCCCGAATTCACAGCCAAGGGCGCGAAGGCAGGTCGGCACGCCGTTGGCGTCGCGCTCCTGGCAGGCCTCGCTCAGGGGGGCCACAAGCTGCTGCACGATGCGCACGGCATCCTCTCTGGTCAGTTCTTCGATGGTGTCCAGTCGCAGAGTCTCCACGCCCACAAGCGTGGCCACGTTTTCCAGCGGCATGATGCGATCGTTTTCTTTCAAGTTTCTGCACGTCTTGATGGGGAAGATTCCGCACGTGCAGGCCTTCGCGCTGTCGATGTGGGCGAGACTGGTGTGCCCCGGGGCCTGGCCGTGTGCCTTGTCGGCGATGGAACTCGCCAGGCACTCCGTCGTGGGGCCCCAGCCTCTGGTGCAGGAGCGCAGCGATTTGTGGTGCCCGTCACGGAACTGCAATCCCAGGCTGAGGGGATTACGGCTGCGCCTGTCTGCCTTGACGAACACGCTTTCATAAATGGCTGCAGACTGTGTGGAGGCCGCATCCACTGAACAATGCCCGGATTGCACGAGCATGTCTTCCAGCAACAGTCTCAATGGCACCAGGTCGTTCATGAAGTGGTATATGGTATGCAGCAGATTTCTTGGTTGCTGCTGCTTGTAGCGTCCGGCGTTTAAATCCATGGAGTGCCTCTGGTGAAGCGCCTCCACAGCGTTCTGAAGGTTGGCGTCCTCCTTGTACGCCCTCCACACGCCGTCCGCCGTCTTCAGAGCCTCGCCCTCCAGAGCGGACCCCAGCATGGCGTAGCTGAAGGCAAGGTCCACGATCTGGTGCGGCTCGATGGCCTTCAAAAACTGCCGCGGCATGGGGCAGGAGAGGAGCTTGTGAAGTCGCAGGTAGTACACGTGGCCCTCCTCCTCTCCCTGCTGCTCGACGACCGAAGTCATGAGGCACGCCATCAGATCCTCGTACACTCGAGGCAGGATGATTGCGCGGTTTTCCGAGAATTCAAAACCATGGTCCTTCAGGCAGCGCTGCACGTAGTCGCCATCTTCTCCGGCGCATATGGTGTCAGCCAGTGCCCCAAGGACATGGCGATGCGCGCCGGACCCGGCAGGCTCGTCCTCACTTGTCACGGCGACCTCGCCGACGCGTGTGGTGCCCAGAATCAGTTCCCTGATATCGTCGGCGGTCATGAGAGGGCTGCCCCCCCCCGCGCTCAGCAGCTGTTTGGGAAGGAAACGCAGGCGGCAGTGGAAGAGACCCCCCCTGTGGTACTTGATCTCACCTCCTTCGACTACCGCGGACTTCGAGAGGCAGGGAATGATTTGCGCCCAAACCGGAGACGCTTTCGCGACTCTACCACCGTGAAACACGAAGCCGTGGTGCCTCAAGCAAGTCCGCGGGTCGGTATCGGAACAGAAGCCCCGGAACAAGTCCGTGATGGTTCCGTAGCTGGACTTGTCCCCCACAAGAGCACGAGCGCCGTGCTCGCTTGGGAGAACCTCCGGCAGCAGGCCCATCGCGTGCACCAGCGCGTGAGGTTGTTCGTACAGGTATCTGCTGACGGCGGGCCGCAGGAAATCGGGCAGCTCTGGGCACGCCGCTAGCGCCACGCCGTTCAGAACGTCGCTCTTCCCCGTCATCGAGTACCCAATGCAGCTCAGGAGGCCGTCGATGCTTCCAGGGATGACGTCGTCGCTGAGGACGAATCCCAGTCTGCGCAGAGCAGCAGGGAACGGCTCCGAGGAGTCTACGGCGCCGGCAAGTCGTCTGAAGGCCCCTTCCATGGATGTGCGTTGTAGTTTCAGCCATGGCGCTGTGCTTTCCAGCACGCCCGCCGTGGTTTCCTCGTAGCGACTCAGTGGAGCGACGGACGTCACTCCGGGAGCAGTAACCAGCGCCTGGCGATACGAAATATCCTGGATGGCATGGCGGGATGCGCTCTCGGGCGTCAGGAAGTCGTGGATCGAGCCTGCCAAGAGCGCCACGGTGGTGATCTTCTCCTTGCCTCGACGTTCGATTTGCTCTTGCCCGTCCATTGTGCTGGCCCTGGCAGATGCGTACTCATATCCCTCACCGCTGCGGTCACTGTCATGAATTCCAGTTTTGTACGGCGCGACAGGATATTCCGGCAAGGTGGCCGTGGTCGGAACCAGTGGCTGGATCGCAAAGTCTTGAACGAGAACTGGAAGCGCCTGCGCACAGCCATGAAACAATTCAGCCGGAATTTCTTCGCCAACAGCTGATCATCATATTCGGTCTGATACCGTATGTACTGTGTGTGACAGTGTGCTTAAAAGCTTTTGGTCCAAAGAAGGCCTGTAAATCAGACGCAGTAACACAAGGAAAAAAAGGGGGCAATAACACGTGTTCAAACGTGTACAAATTTTAGGGGTTTGTGTTATTTTCGTGCTTTTAGCGTGCAGAACACTGACGGAATGCATGCACACGTCTTCGAAGAAAGTGTTATTTGGTCCTTTTCTTGCTAGTGTAAGACGTGCAACGTGCACGTGATTTGGGGCCCTTTAGTCTACCAGTATGGAATACAGGAGCGGTTCATTATTGGGTCAAGCCAATCGCTGAATCGCGCTCACCTGGGCATCAGCTTTGTTGATGATAATGCAATTGACCGGATACATCCTGCGTCCCTTTAGGTAGGCCTCGTTCACGCACATCTGCAAGGAGAATGGGACAGTGACTCAGTCAGTATGGCTTGGGACATGTTTTGTGAATACAGCTTCCTGTGAACGACATTGCGCAGTCCAGATCTCGCATTATGGTGGACATTCACGCACCTTGGTTACGCCGTGTGGGTAATGAAGGCCGACATCCAGGTAATAAGTTCGGTCCACCGAAGCAGGAGTTACAGAGTTCAGACTTGCTCCCGGGGGACCGTAGACGTCAAAAGTCTGCCGGGAAACGATTACATCATCAAAGCTGAACTGGGCGATGACCTCAATGCTGTCTCTATTCGTGAAGGGCCCGTCAGATGTTAGGAGCACCTGGGAAGGTGGTGCCACACAGCGCAATGCTCAGGATGTGCAGGAAAACAATGGTGCGGATGCGGATGCGCGTGCACTAACTTTCATGATCCATTCATGGAGAGTTTTGAAGCCACGTATTGAAGGATGCGTTGACCAATTAATTTTCGTGAGCTAAGTCCCAGAATGACACTTGCAAGGCAGGACTTCAGACCCGCCAAAACTCCTCTGCTCACCGGCGACGCCACAGAGAGGGTCGCCTTGTGGCACGCCAGCTGTTCTATCTCTTTTCGTTGGTATGGCAGCTTCACGCAGTGGGGCTGGGGGGCCAGGAAGGACCTCTTCCCGAAAAAGGCTTCCGGCACCCCGTCTCTCAATCCAATGCAGATGGCCCCCTTAATGGGGGCGGCCGGATCCGTGCATTCCGTGGGTGAGAGATAGCCAACCAGTTCGGCGCCGCACCGGTCAGCTGAAGGAGCAACAGCAACGATCTCGCCTGAGTTGACGATGACATCGTGCCGGCTGAGGCTCCTGAAGGGGCTGGAGAAGAAGGCAAATGCTCGGAAGTAGAAGTGGCCGGTGCCCTTCGGGAGAGCTGCCCCCGGCAGGAAGGGAGTCATGGACTCGGCGTCCCTGGACAGCTCCGTGAACTGGAAAATCGAAACAGCTGTCAAGTCGCCTTTGCGTGCAATCCACGATGGCGCATCTCGGCTTGCGAATGAACAAACAATCTGGAATATTCCTGAATCACCGCATACACTATGAAGAAAAGGGCCAAATAACACTTTTGTGAGCACACATTAAACACATTTCATCAAAGCTCTGCACGCTGAAAACACAAACCCGTAAACTTTGTACACATTTGAACACGCGTTATTTGGCCCTTTTCTTTCCTAGTGATATCACCGAACCACCGCCGACACTGTCTAGAGCCATGTTGGCCTTCGCAAACAACATTCTAGACAGCACCGCGGACAAGAATGTCGTGGATGCACGGTTGCGTTGTAGTCTGCTGTGCACCCTTGGAAGGCCAGAACGAAATGCGAACACAAATTTGGGTCTACGTTCAAACATGATATCATCGGCGTGGAGATTTTTAGCCAGATGCTGAGTGCAGGATCATTCGTGAGCAAGCCATCGGACTCACCTCGAAGTAAACCCGAGCGTCGCCGCTTGTCGTGTTCTTGGGAGTTGTCAAGGAGCACGACTCAGCAACCACGCCGTGGGGGTGCAACTCGCACACACCCAGACTCACACACTGCCCGTACCTCCTAAGGGTTAGGTAGCGACCCAAGCCGCCGCATTTGATGGCCACCTTTCCTCCGGGCGGTATGGAAGTCTCCTGGGCAGATAAAAAGGACACAAGTGAGGCGGCGGATTTGCCCCAATTGCTCCAGATGGAAGAGGCACCTTCCACAGGGACTCATGGACCACGCGTCATGGCGCCGTTCGTTGTTGTGTGTGCTCAGACGTCGCTGCCCATTAATCGCAATACTGCGCTCAGCCGTCTGGATAATTGTCGCTCAACTCATACATGCATGCATGAAAGTGCGTGCACGAGTGTGCCTTAACTCACGGCATTTTAGGGGTAATTTACTTCAGGGATGCAGCTGGGTTCAGGTGCGCACCTTGAACAATGGGCATACGTGATTGCGCTGGCCGTTTGGATCGTTGCCGATGGCGAGCTCGTAGTCGCTGATTGGAGATTTTGTGTACGCTGCCTGCGTGTGTCGCCCCTTCACTGTCAATATACGATATTCTTTACTCCGTGGCTGCATTTAGAGACGACATGGATTCCGCCCTTTCAAGCAGGTCCTTCAGATTCTAAGTTAATTATTCTCTACATATTTTTTTGCTTAGTGTCAAAGTGGGTGTCCAGAACTTTGCGGTTGCAGTCGCAACTCCAGTGGTGGGTGTAAAATGATGAAGTGTTGCTGCGTGGACACAGCAGGGAGCTAGGTGCTGGGCCAATCTCACCAGCACCGGACACGCTGGACGTCCTTGGACGCCCAACGTTCATGCAATTGATTATGGTCATGGATGCGGCGGATGGGAGATTCTGACTGCGGCAAAGTGATCGCAGAAATACGAACCTTAATGAACACGGCCTCCACGAATGCATAATTTCCGAAATCGAGGGTTATCCACTGCGTGTCACCCATAGGCGTTGCAGCGCAAGTGCCGTGGTCGCACGCGTGTACGTGGTGGGCGTCCCCGGGACCCACGAACTGAGGCGCCACGGGGACTCGATCGTAGCAGGACTCCTGCGCGGCAGCGCAAGCAGCATAACTTAGCCCAAACTCAAAATAGCTCTCAGTAGAACTCACTCGCCAGAACGCACTGCTTAAAGGCTCAAGAAAATCGCTGTGTAAAGTAAGGTCGCTGCATTTATATCTGTTTTTTTTCTGGACAGCGTAAGCCATGCACTGTTGAAAATAACGTTCAGGAACTAGTCGCATGTCATTTCTCTGCGTGCGCACCTTAGCATCTGTGGACACTCTGGAGATGGATGTAAGGAAAGCAGATTTGGGGCGCAGACCGAACGGACTCTTCCATGGCACATTAGGCGAAGACAGCACAGAGAGGCAGTTGAATCCTGCCTGGCCTGGAGAGTCGCTGCATGTCGAGCCGTCGCAGTACGCCCCCAGGAAAAGGTACCAGTCTCCTGCGTTTCAAGGGCAATCGTTTCCTTCAGTCTCTGAAATTCAGACTTCTTGCCCGTGAATCCGAAATCAAACGGGGGCGCAGTGTGGCAAGTCCATATTGGATGGCTTGCGCGTGTTCAGGACTAGCGAGTATGGAGCGTATTCCATTACACCTAACTGAATCTAATTCCTAATGACTTGAGCTCTTCATTCAAGTGATAGCCTTAACTACATGCTTGGCGAAGCTTCGGCCTGCTTTTTTCAATTTTCCTGATAATCCTAAAGAAGCAGTATCATCATTGAGGAGTTGCATGTGTCAACTACATGATCCTATCGGCCTCATCCAATACTTTTCTCACAACACGTTGCCAGCCCCAAATTGGAAAACATTGCGCGATATTTATCTTGTGGCCTCACCGGAATTTTGAATTGAACATAAACTCCACTCCCGACGTGAGCATGATTTTGATTGTGCTTATCGTTATGCTAAAGCGTATCACCTCTGCTGGATACAACACCCGTGTCTTCCCAGTACATTGCCACGCTTCTGTCGCCTGGCGTGCAGGAGCTCGAAAACTGCACACTGTGCTCGTCGACATGCAAAGTTATGTCCACCCAGGGATTGTAGCACGGTAGCCAAATTCCCTGCAGCGGGTTGGGGGACTGCAGCTGAATGTGGCTTCTGAATCGAGGACAGCACACAAGAGTAGATCCGTCATCAAGGATGCATGTCTGACGAATGGAGGTCTGACTCAATCAATCAATCGACCAGTCAGTTAGTCAATTAACCAGTCCGTCAGCCGATCAATCAATCAACCTATCAATCATTCATTCGATGCTGTGAGATCCGTTGCCGTGTATAATGTATGTGGCTCGGTGAATTCTTCATGCCGGTGGTCCCAAACCCGAGCTCCAACGATGCAACAGAACGTGGTAGGCTAGAACGCAACACCGCCACAAAAGCAAAATGATGCATCGAGATGATGACCAGGGTACCTAAGGCTGTGGATCTGGGGCGTACTCACTTGGACCACGCCACATGAATGGAATCCTTGGGTGCCTTCAGCGGAAATTCCGGACTGAACTCGAGCTCTTTGGCCTTGGACAACACCATGAAATTCGAAGTCCCACCGGCGTACATAGTTCTGCTTCACGCACAAGAAAAGGTCAGGAAACGTGCACGCTTCAGTAGTCCATGAAACAGTGCAATTCGGTGCTATTTCGATTGTTCGACAGAATACTCGAAACGCACCGACAACCCGAAAAATGCGCAATGCAAACAATCATATTTATGTTTAGAAGCCATGGAGGTGGTCTAAATGTATTAATTATACAAGATTTCTCGGCGCAATGCCACAGGTGTACTCCGTAACCTACAGTGAATGGAAGCTGTTATGCATATGAGCTCACCCCTCGGAAATACGAAACCACGATGTCGAAATTTCAAAATCGTCTGGCGGGAGCGGTCTTGCAAACCGCAGCAGTGAGTTGGAGCCAGGTGTCGAGCCCCACAGAGTTGCCTGCGCACCATTGACACCAACATCGATTTTACGCCCCCTTGTATTGATTTCAGCGCCCCATAGACCGCCTATTTGTAGCGAACAAGCATCCTTTATAAAACGACAAGTTTATTGTGTTTCTTATTCTTATAATGAAATGTGAGCATGCGTTTAGGCAATGATGAAACATCGTACAAGCATTTCAAAGAATTCAATAATGCACTGAATTTGTCGCCTATGTCATGGATACCGCACCTGTGAGGTATCCTCACCTGAACTGTCACATGCCCATGATTGAAATGGCCGCCGTGGACTGGATTGTGGATACCACCATTCCGCGCATAGCTCCCTCGGTCTTGAGGCCCATGTGCAGTCGACCACAACGCAGCATATAGTAGATTGTCTTTGGGCTGGCACATGCTGCATGCCCCGGCCGCTTGCGCACCTGATGCCATAGACCAGGTGAACCGACATCACTTCCTGTACGTATCAATTTGCGGACCGGCATCGGGTCAGCTGCACAATGCTGCGCAACTCGGTACGCTTTTCTCACTCTCCGCTGCGAAGGGCCCATCAAACAAAGTTACACGTTTGCGTATTCTACCCGCCGACATCGCTGTGGGACGCATCGAGGATCGAGCGGTCCAGGAAAGGGGATCGGGCCTCATGGAGTCCATGCAACTCCGAGTTCCACCGTTGGTGGCTCTCCTGACTTGAGGAGCGGCGATCACCGTTCCTCAAGTTAGGAGAGCCGCCAGCGATGGAACTCGGAGTTGCATGGACTGTGCTCACCCTTTACAAGCGGTAGATACTACAATCACGCAGGTGGGCTGGAACAGGTTAGCGACCAGGTCCTGCTGCAACAAAAGTTTTGGAACAGGTACGTGAGTCCATCCCATGGTAATGCAATCATCCAGGGGCGGTCGTCGCATATTCAATTTCGACAAAATAATAGCGGTTGCAATTGCACGACTGTGGCTCTCACTTGACTGCTGCATTGGTAATTATCAAAGCAGCCTACGCATGTAGCCGTACTTCATTTAAAGAAGGATGGCCATCAAAGTGCATCTTGACTAGGTCGGCCACCCCGTCGTTTGGAGATTACAGATAATCCTTACCGATATTCGAGCCGCGCTCAACGCCACTCAGTCTGGTGAATGGACGAGCCTGGTCAATGGAAGGAACATCATTTGGTGGTGCTCGCTGCAGAGCCCACGGTGGGCGATGCTTCCTTGCCGGATGGCGCTGTCTTTGTCCTCGCAAAATGTGCGAGCCGCCCAGTCCAGGATCATATGCATGTCTGGCTGTGGTGGGTGGCGGTTTTGTCTGATATGGGACCGAATAGGGAGGTGAAGTCCTAATCTCTGCAAAGGGGACGAATGGCCGGCGAGGAAGCTCCATCGACAGAGCCATCTGGACTGGATCAGGTGGCTTTTCGGCAAGTTCGGTCACCGGGGAGGGTCCGGAATCCATGGAGCTGAGCCTCTCGTGCTCATGGGCCTTCTT